AAAGTCAAAATCCAAGATGTTTTTTTTTAAAACAAAGATTGAAAATTTGTGAATATGATAGATAAATATATATCATAAAGGTTATTAATGTTGTTAGAATCTAATGTCTTTACTGGTCATGTAGAAGATTTGTCAAGAATCAAGCTGTGATGTATGTTTGTTGATTGTGCGGGGGGGTTAAACATTTATTATGCTGCAGTGTAGATGATCAAATTGAAATTTGGAGGCCTTATACCTGACCATATTAACATACCAGTGCTATATTAGGACATCAGTGATAGAACTGGTTTGACACAGAATTAATTCTAAACCTGGTAAGACAATAACTTACACTAGGGACATCCATCGGCCTAAACACCAGCATTAGAAAGCAATCTACTAAAGCCCTCATGTTTCCTACAAGTAAAATGCTTCCTTAATTCTCCAACACAAAATTTAAAACAATTGATAAATGTCTTCTTTCTTGTTTTTATTTGAAAGAGAAGAGGGAAGGAAATTTACGGTTCACATGATGTATCTTCTCAATTATTTTTCTCAACTGTAATACATAAATAACAAAGTGCTTCTAAATCATTAATCATCTGCTACACTAATTAAACATCAAGGTCACGAGTCAGTTACAAAAGTAGGAAAATTTTCCTTGTGGTTAACACTGGAAACAAGAGATCCCAGAGGGATCTTGGCCCCAATCATTGGTATATCATTATTTGCGCTTTAAAAGTTGGATTTTTTCCCTTCTTTTCTCTGTTTTTGCTCTTAATCATAAATTTGAACATTCATTTGCAGAAATAGCGACAATAATCTTTTACTGTTAAATAAAAGATAGTCCAGCTGGAAGCCATTTTGTATTTTCTGATCAGTCCCAAAATCAAATGGGCAATAGGGACCAAGGGGAACCTACATATGAAATTTGAGAAAGATCTATGCCTATCTGCCATTTTGTTTCTCTAATTAGTCCAATGCAGGGAACAAAGCAGGGTTATATTGGAGGTGAATATAGGGACAAGGAAGGATAATATCAGAGGTGAATATAGGGACAAGGAAGGATAATATCAGAGGTGAATATAGGGACAAGGAAGGATAATATCAGAGGTGAATATAGGGACAAAGAAGGATAATATCAGAGGTGAATATAGGGACAAGGAAGGATAATATCAGAGGTGAATATAGGGACATGGAAGGATAATATCAGAGGTGAATATAGGGACATGGAAGAATAATATCAGAGGTGAATATAGGGACAAAGAAGGATAATGTCAGAGGTGAATATAGGGACATGGAAGGATAATATCAGAGGTGAATATAGGGACATGGAAGGATAATATCGGAGGTGAATATAGGGACATGGAAGGATAATATCAGAGGTGAATATAGGGACAAAGAAGGATGACATCAGGTACATGCAGGGAAAGTAGGCAATAGAAGCAGGCAGAGGTTTAGAAAAGTAAACTATCTCATACTAAGAGTAAGTTACACTGTACACAGAAGCACAGTAGGATCATGTTGGGTTCACATCAATTTAGATTTTTTCTTTAATTTGTAAAAAGATTACGGGAGTGTTTGGCAAGCACATTCATCATTTAGCACTGTGTGTACAAGACTAAAAATAAACATTTCCTGTGGTACATGTTTTAAATCAGTGATAAAGAAAAGGTATATATATATAGATCACATATTAAACTAATACTTCCCTCCATCTGATAATCTAGACTTGTTCAGCCATATCAGATGTTTACATACACTACTAGATTTACCATCTGTTGGTAAAATTTCTGCCAAGACAAACAATCTGATAACAAATCAATCCTGAAGCTAGCATAATAAGTATGTCCATCAAACTATATAGCAAGTTCACAGAAAACACATAAGATTGACAGACATAGCGATCATATATTTCATATTTGATGGAGGAAGTGACCTTACGAAATGTTTCTGTTTTTTTAAGACTGCACCTAGAGAAAATTATAGAATCTAGCAAATTAAAGCTATTATTTACTAATGAAGGACGGCTTATATAAAGGATTTTTGTTTTTGTAAAACAAACGTCTTTCAGAACATTGTCAACCCTTTTGTGATTGGTTGGTTGCTTGGTTGACATGTTGTTTTGTCTGTTCCACCGACTTCACTGGTGTTCAGCAGACCTGAAGGGAATATACAGTGTTATCCCCACCTCTGATGACACTTGGCCCGTCTGTCCAGTGGGTAGCCAGAGTCAGGCTAGCTCTTTGGAACGGACTGTCACACAACACAACTTGAGGGTCCCTCAATGAAGAAGCCTGTATGAGTCTGATGCCATCGCTTCAGTGTTTGTGATAAACTCCATAGATTTACTCCACAATAGCTATGATATTTTAAATGATGAAATGGAACATTTCTCCAGTATTACAAAGTAAAATGACAAAAAAGCTCAAATGCATCCCACAAATTTCCAGATCCCCATTCAGACACATTGTAGACCAACAAGAGTATATAATATAGTATGAGAAAATTTATTTCCAAATACAGCTTTATCAGATATATTATAAACATCTTAACAACTTCTTTAGTCAATATCCTTTATATTAAGTGTGTTATTACAAATTAACCAGTGTTAAAAACATTTCAGAATTCCTTTAACTCATTAAAAATAAGAAAAAAAAGCTTTCATGTCAATATTTCCTGAATTATGTATATCATCTGATTGCCTTGTTATTCAATGAAAATACCCATGTCATATATTTGCATATTATATAGATGTAATAGATGTCACATTTGATAATGAAACGACACATCCACAGAGGGCATTGCGATGATGGCCACCAGAGATGAGGCCATTAGGTGATGCAGACCAGAGATGAGGGCATTTGATGATACAGACCAGAGATGAGGGCATTAGATGATACAGACCAGAGATGAGGGCATTAAATGATAAAGACCAGAGATGAGGGCATTGTGATGATGGCGACCAGAGAAGAGGGCATTAGATGATACAGACCAAAGATGAGGGCATTTGATGATACAGACCAGAGATGAGGGCATTTGATGATACAGACCAGAGATGAGGGCATTAGATGATACAAACCAGAGATGAGGGCATTTGATGATACAGACCAGAGATGAGGGCATTAGATGATACAGACCAGAGATGACGTCATGGTAACAATAGAGACCAGAGATGAGGTCATTGTGATGATGGAGACCAGAGATGATGGCATTGTAACAATCGAGACCACAGATGAGGGCATTGTGACGGTGGAGACCAGATATGAGGGCATTGTGACGATGGAGACCAGATATGATGGCATTGTAACGATGGAGACCACAGATCGATGGAGACCACAGATGAGGGCATTGTGACGATGGAGACCACAGATGAGGGCATTGTGACGATGGAGACCAGAGATGATGGCATTGTGACATAACAAAAGAGACCACAGATGAGGGCAATGTGACAAAACAATGGAGACCACAGATGAGGGCATTGTGACATAACAATGGAAACCACAGATGAGGGCAATGTGACAAAACAATGGAGACCACAGATGAGGGTATTGTGACACAAATATAATGTTGTTCAAACTATAAGTTTGACATAGAAATGCCTGTTTTCTTTATGTGCTTGAATTCCTATTTAATACATGATTTATGAAACTCATTACAAGTTGGGTTTTTTTCATTATAGCTCTCTGATGCTTCACTAAATGAAATTTTTCTAACTTGTTTCATAAATTTCACATATCAAATGGAAAATTAAATAAGATCCTATTTATGTATTGAAGAATATTTTAGCCAAATTTTCATGTTCATTACAAATGGAAAGGTAAATTAGACACTCTCCATGTTTAATGTATACAGTTGTTGTATGTACTTGTTGACCTCTAGGAATCCTACACCAGAGCTGTTCCATTATAACCTGTAGAACACTCATCTACTAGAGGTGCCAAAATATAAAACCAATTTACTACAAGTGCAAATCCCAGAAATTGAAATTTTAGAAAGATATGTGGAAGAAAACTGGCATAACACATCTTTTGTACCTCAGTGAACCTAGAAATGGATAGAAAAGTGCAGATCAAATTTGAAAACAATCAAAAATTCTCTAACTTGCCAAAAACAAAATTAGACTTGCTTCAAGAGTTGTGTCCCTTGGTTAAGTATTGACAATTTTTTTTCTGTATTAAAAATTCTAAAAAAACTCTAGTGTTGGTGTGAAAACAACAAGAAATATATTAGTATGTGCAAGCATGTATATCTATTGTATAAGATATTAGGTATATCACTCAGTCTTTCTAACAATGTACCCTTTTTTTGTTTTTTGTATAATACACATACATTACTGTTTTCAAACAAACACACCAGGTAGTAGGATATGTATCTAAACATCCTGATAGCCAGGAAATCAGTTACTTTAGTACACCATCAAAGATGTGTAGTCATGAAATCTAATTCAGTTTCAAATTCATCAAGAAAACACTGCTGGTATAGGTTGTTGAACATGATTGAGTGGAGGCACTCAAGTCATTGTATAAATTCATTGAAAATTTTTAATGAAATTTACATGAAGGATTCTTGTCGCAGTAAATTACAAACAAGTCAATAAAATTCAGCTGTTTTTATTTTTCTGAAGATTGAGGTTCTTTATAATGAAGTAGTTTATTGATCGGATTTGATGACTAATATAACATGGCTATCAATATGTTTACTGATCAACGTAACCTCATCACCAACATCTCACACTAAGTTATTTGGTGGTCAAAGAACAGAACTGTGTAATGCTAAATGTTTCTCACAATACCACAGACATTGGTGACTGTAGAGAATACGTCAAGTACAAGGACGTTATTTAGCCATGGTTGATTCTGAGATGTGCAGATGTCCCAACCTGGTGAACTTTGTATCCAAATATGGCAGCATTTTCAACATCCCAACAGGATTGTATAGCAGCCAGCAATTTGTGTAGTAATCCTTGATGCTCTGGAAATGAATTTTCGAAACCTGAATACGATCACTTAAGTCCTTACCTTTTTGTAAGCCTTGAAGACATTACACTTGAACACATTGGTCGGTCCATCTCTAGCTATGTAGCTCCAGATCTTCAAATCCTGTGAGTCATGTGACACATAGAAAATTCTGAAAGTTATAAATAGCGCAATATAAACATTATACCTGTACAGATTGAATTCAAATGTAAATAAACTCACGGCACTTTTTATTATAATATTAGAAATATATCATAAACTTTGTATTATACCACAGTTTCCTGACTTAACTCCAGATTAATATTTTGGTATAACTACTTAAAGACCATTATTAAAAATTGATTACAATGACAAACACATTGTTAACCCCATCAATACATACTGATTTAAACTCTGTAAATAACTGGTCAATCAACATTTGATATTACCTGTCTAAATGATGTCATCAGTTGATATTAGCTGTCTAATGTATGTCATCAGTTGATATTACCTGTCTAAATGATGTCATCAGTTGATATTAGCTGTCTAATGTATGTCATCAATTGATATTACCTGTCTAAATGATGTCATCAGTTGAAATTTGCTGTCTAATGTATGTCATCAGTTGATATTACCTGTCTAATTGATGTCATCAGTTGATATTACCTGTCTAATTGATGTCATCATTTGATATTACCTGTCTAAATGATGTCATCAGTAGATATTACCTGTCTAATTGATGTCATCAGTTGATACTACCTGTCTAATTGATGTCATCAGTTGATATTACCTGTCTAATTGATGTCATCATTTGATATTACCTGTCTAAATGATGTCACCAGTAGATATTACCTGTCTAATTGATGTCATCAGTTGATACTACCTGTCTAATTGATGTCATCAGTTGATATTACCTGTCTAATTGATGTCATCATTTGATATTACCTGTCTAAATGATGTCATCAGTAGATATTACCTGTCTAATTGATGTCATCAGTTGATATTACCTGTCTAATTGATGTCATCATTTGATACTACCTGTCTAAATGATGTCATCAGTTTATATTACCTGTCTAATTGATGTCATCAGTTGATATTACCTGTCTAATTGATGTCATCAGTTGATATTACCTGTCTAATTGATGTCATCAGTAGATATTACCTGTCTAAATGATGTCATCAGTAGATATTACCTGTCTAATTGATGTCATCAGTTGATATTACCTGTCTAAATGATGTCATCAGTTGATATTACCTGTCTTATTGATGTCATCAGTTGATATTAGCTGTTTAAGTGATGTCAACATTTGACATTACCTGTCTAATTGATGTCATCACCTTATTAATTCATTAATAAATACATCATATATAGATTTTAACACATTTGACCCCTGTGATCTCTTTAATCTTAAAGCAACTTCTTTTCCATACCCTAGAGGACTAAGGTAGTAACCAAGATAATATAACAGTTAACCAGTTTGTTCAAAAGAATGACTTTATTCGACCAACTTTAGAGGTCAAAAATGCTAAAATCCTTAAAACCTTTTCTCTATAACCAATAGCTCCAATGTCATGATATTAAGTCCATAGCAGCTACCCAGGTAAATAAAAAATAACAAGTAAAGTATTTTGATGATTTTTACAAACCTGAAAATAGGATGATGCATCACCAATATCTTCTCTTCTGTAATCCGTCCACCGAGTGATTTCTGAAATAAGAAACAAGATGAAACTCGAGATACAATAATACAATTCATTTCTGTAGAAATGACTGAGGGTATACTGTAACATGTTGAGGCCATACAATATTTTTCCTTTTTTAACAAATTATTTTTACAGCAAATCCCATCAACTTTGAACTCTGAGTGTGTCTAACCTCCAGGCCGAAGTCAATGGTCAAGCAGATGTTGTATAAAAGTGAGAAAATTGGCATATATTGACTAAACATATTTCAACAGTAACAGTCACCAGATGTTGATAGAAGCCATATACAGTATATATAAAGCCAGTCCGGGTGAAAGATAAATACAATGAATGTGTTCAGATGGGGTATACCATTGATACAGTATGTAGGTCAAGGTCATGCATTTGAACAATCCTAGTAATTCTACATTAAATCATACTACTGGCCCTATATCAGCATTTTGGGCCTCTTGATTATTGAGGCATTTGTTTGATGATTTCAATGTTTGACTACTGAGCCTTTAAGAGTAGGTCATGGCAATGTATTACAACAATCGTGGTTGTCATCATTTAACCAAACTGCTGGTTCATTATCAGTAACTTGGGTCTCTTGGTAACTCTTGGGGGAGTTATAAGGAGATTTTAACATTTGACTCTGGTGATCTTGAAAGTGGGTCAAGGTCATGCACTTGAAGAAACTTGGTAGCCTGAGCATTCTGGGCCTCTTGGTTGATTAGAAGTAATCATTCAAATATCTGAAGAACATTTGTCACCTGTTATGCAAGTTAGCCAAAGTCATTCATTTCATTTTAATAAATACAATCACCTTTATATTTGAACTCCCAGCATGATACAGACCATATATCAGTACCATGGGCTGATGACTGCCTAAAGTTGTTTGAATATCTTAGGTCATTTTGCCTATGTGACCTTGAAAATGTGTCAGGTTCTTGAACAAACTTTGTATCACTTCATAAATGCATGCTACAGGCCCATCTTCAACACTCTGGCCCAACTGATTATTGTGAAGAAGTCTTTCAAACATTTCAACACATTTGAACCTTGTGTTACCTTGAAAGTTAGTCAGGGTAATTCATTTGTGGTTATCAAGAAGTAGTTCTTTAACGGGAAAAGTTGACATATATTTTACAAATATTTGAGGTTGTACCATAGTAAATTATTAACATATTTTGTACTTCTGTTGAATATTGAATTTTAAAATCCTCCCATTTTCATAAGTTTAAGAAACAACAGCATCAGAAAACTGTTTTGTTAAAGGTTAAAGTCCTTGACCTTTAAAATTAACAATGTTTATTTGATTAGAAATGGACAACATTGTAAAAATATACATGGATTCTACTATATTACATAACGATAGAACAATAGACCTTCACAGCTAATAGGTATTACTTCAGTATCTATGTATAGTACAATTACTTTAACAGATTTCAAAACTGCATGTGAAAGATGTTATTTTGAGGAGGAACATTTTAATATAAAGCATGTTATGTCATTCTGCTGTAAAATTTTATGTTGTTATAAAATATCCTAAAATGAGAAATATTTTTTTAATGAATCTGTCTCGCAATAACAATACACATGTAAGGTGAGTTATTAGTCTCTCTCAGTATTGCACAGATATAATTGCTGTCGTAAAAAGCTATACATGTTCTTACTTACATATTAAGAAGTCTTAGTACCCTAGTAAAACTAGGCCTGTGGGACACCCTATATCATTTATTACACTTCATCTAGTGCAACACTTATGTAATGCTCCTGCTTCAGATGTCAAGGTCATATTGAATATTTCCATTTTAACTTCGATCTCTATCACTGAGCATTCTGTCTACAATTCCCCAATGTGAAAAACTCACCGATAACATCTTACCCATCACTCAGAGGTTGTGTGTGTATTAAAGGGGAGACCATTTGCATGTCTGCTCTCTTCTGTAGCTACTGTACATCAATTTAGCCAACAGAAAAATTAAAATACCATTACATACGTGTGGTAATAAAGTACCTGACAGCTTGATACCTGAGGGCACCATTATTCCTAAAGATCGGTTATCAGTGAGTGTAGCTGGTCAATACACATCAAGGTACTAGGTGTTTCTTTGTAGATCTCAGCTGACATTAGGTGGTCCCTAGTCTTGTGTTGTTTCATGATTATCGACAATCAAATTAACCAGAGAACCAAATCTAGATCACTGTCTTTAATCATTGTTGGATAGCACATAACCTTCATCAGCATGCTCACATTTTCTTTCATCTAGAAAAACATGTTCTTACATCAACAATGATTTTGATGTAGTAACATGTTTTTTTAATCATGATACTGACTGGTGCTCCCTCCCTCTCCCAGTTTATACAAATTACATGCAGCTATTTCAGGAATAACTTTAATTAAAATGGAAGGAAAAAAGAAAACAATATTTGTATTCTTGTTTTATATATGAACGTAACAGGAGTAGCATTCACATGATCTCAATATGGAAGAAAACTGGAGTGTCTGGTGAAAATACAGAGTTTGTAATGAGACCCTTCATAACATGTTCAGACTGGTTTGGAATCAAAGCTTAGCGATCTTAATGACAGGCGGCAAACCATCTTTCTGTTTTGTAATAATAATCATTCCTGGAAATACAAAATGGTGAGACCTTGAAACCATTCTGAACTCACTACATCAGACATGTTTAAGATCTGCAGTCATTTATCATGTTTTCTACCTCTACAATAAATACTTCATTAATCAACTCATTAGGATGGAGTCTCATTTAACCTGAATGACAAGGGCTGTCAGAGACATATTATGCTCCCCAAATGGTATGAAAGTATGAAAAATAACAAAGGGCAATAACTCCTCTATTATGCAAAAGAGAGTTACAATTCTTATGCACTGCCCGTCTTCTCATTGAGATCTATCACCTAAGAAGTTTCATGTTGATACCTCTTGTGATTTTCGTGTAATATTCTGGACAAAATTTAAAGTATGAAAAGTAAAAAAGGGCAATAACTCCTATATTACACCAAAAAGAATGATGGCTCTTGTGCACTACACTTCTCTATCTACCAATGAATTTTTATGTTGATACCTCTGTGTTATGCTCCATACAAAATTATGACTAACTCACAAACGGACCGACGAACAGATGGACGGACAGACAAAGCTGTGACTATATGCTTCCCGATGGGAGAGCATAAAAATGCAATGACAAGAAGAATTTGTATCAATCATGAGTGACGTTAAACAATAAGATATCTAGTAGACTGAAATAAATAAATAAGTTCAGTACACATTTATTGCTTTGCTTAGTTAAGCAAGTAAAATTCATAGTTTCACTGATTTGGCTGATGAAAATTATCATATACTAAGGGCAATAACTCTGCAAAAATCAGGTACTTGATATACACACATACAAAATTTTTGAACTTAAATTGATCTTGTGCTTATGTTACAAAAACACTTGATTTGTATGATAAGTATTTGTTATCTATCTACCTTTAATCAAATCAACAAACAAATAAATACATAAATCTATTTGTAAATAAACACATAAATCTATTTGTAAATACTGTAAAATTCATATTCTTGTGTGGCTCAATTTTTGTTGTTTTTCAAAAAATTTTTGTTGACACTTATTTTTGTAAATCTATTTCGCTCAATAAATTTACTTATTCTAATTTTAACAATTCAAGGACGTCAGAATTCACGGATTTAAAGTATCTATGAAATCAACAAAAATATATCCTCCACAAAAATTAAAGGCTTACAGTAAACAAAATGGCTGTGATTTAAAACCACTCGTACCATTGACACTTTTCCCCTCAAAATAGGCAAATAAATCAGAGTTGCTAGTATTAAAGAATCTGCCATTCTGAGGAAACAATTGTTCCCACCACTCAAGGAAAACTAATTTGTATTTGTACAAGTTTGATCGAATCAAGTAAAAATATCATATTTCCCACCTACATAGAGTAGAAAGTAATATTTCTTGGAAGCAGATTTGATGTACACCGGAGGCAGAGGAAATATGACCTGGCAATGCCTTAACAACAGTGACAAATCGGCCCAACCCAATCCTACCAGCTTCAAACATGGTATTGATATATCTGCAGCTTTACCTGGAGACAAAACAATTTTACCATCCTACTAAAATGAAATGTCAAATATAAATTACCCTCATGTATGGTAAGACATATTGATTTGAAACAGACAAGGTGAGGTTTTGTGGTAGTAGAGATAAATATAGCACATATTGAGATTACAGAAAAAAACGTATGAGACACACAGCCATGTCGTAAGCTTATATGGCACCTTCATGCCAGGTGAGCAGATAAACAATTTTTACTTTGAGTAATTTAATGGAACTTTATCAGAATGACACACAACCAATTAATCTTGACAAAATAGGGCAATCCTACACTATCTGGATACATGTATATAAGAAAAAGGGAGACAACTCCCTGTAGGATATATTTGGTAACTGTTGTCGTTTGAGGTCCTTTTTAACAGGCAGTGTCATTTAAGGAGGAAAACATGAGTTTACAGTGAAAAACTGCTAACATGTGATCAGTACCTCCTGGTGATTTTCCCATGTAGGTCTCAAGCCCATGACCCAGAGGTGAAGGGTTAGTGATAAAGTGGCTCAAATATCTTTACTACTTGGCCATCACAGATATATTTGTTAGAATATGTGTAAACTAACAAAGCTTTATATTGCAGAGCCCTGATGATAGATCAAGTACAAATCTATATAATTACTGATGGATTGTCCACTACATGTACTGTCCACTCTCAACAATCCAGCCATTTCTCCAGCCATTATCTTCCCTACTGAATACAGACAATTACTAACCCCATATTGGAATCTCGTTCAGCTCTTCTAATGATAAATAATCTGTAGTCACCTTACATTCAACTTGACAGAAGAGCGAGTTTTACCCTGGAAACAAACCTGTTTCTATGACTCCAGTTCCAGTGGTATTTATAAGAAGTTATCATTGATAAGACTAACGGCTAGGCCTC